ACACACAAATATCCAGATCACTGCCTTTTCTTGAAAATCTACCTGGAGCTGCATGCCTAGTGCTCCTTGAATGAGTCATGTCCTCTCCACTTCTCCACATTTCCCACCACCTCACACTGACCCCTTCACTCACTTATCATCTGCCTTATGCTTTAAGCATCTGAGCATTTCAGTTGGTGACCACTGTTCTGGAAAGAGGGTTATCTACTCTGTTGGTGAACATCACCCCAGAAGTGGTGGGAGCTCACAAGTTTACAAGTAGACAGATTTCATCGTAGGCAACTCTAAACATTAGAGAGATTTGCCTAGAATAATTTCCAGACATGAACTAGTTTTATCTTCGGAAACACATTAAATCCACTCTCTCTCTTCCACTGGAAACTCTTCTAGATATATCTGAAGGCAACTAACCTTCCCAGGTTTTTAATTTTACTTTGACATCCCCAGAACCCTCAAATATTCCTTACAATGATGTTTCCAAGCCCACCATGGCCCTTGGCATGCTTCTCTGTATGGACGGATTCTATTTATAATTTATTTTAAAGCTATTATTTATGTATTCTTTTATTATATATTCTAGTGATCAATGTTCGTCACATAAAATAATGTGATATTTAGTTGATCTAGATCAGTAGTTCTCAAACTTTTTGGTCTCAGGACACTTTTACACTTTTAAATTCATTGAGGATTCCAATGAGCTTTAGTTTAAGCCAGTTATATCTATTGGTATTCACTGTACTAGAAGTTAAAAATGAAAAACATTTAAATGTTTACTAATTCATTTAAAAATATGTCAATATAACATATTTCTATGAAAAATAAATATATTTTCTAAAGCAACATAAATTAATAAGAAAAGTCACATTGTTTTACATTTTTGCAAATCTTTTTTTTTTTTTTTTTTTATCCTCACCCGAGGACACATTTCCATTTTTTGTTCAGGTAGAGTGGGAGGGAGAGAGAGGAACAGAGAGAGAGAGAGAGAGAAACATCGACGTGAAAGGAACACATCGAGTGGCTGCCACCCGCACAACCGACCAGGGCCGGGGACAAACTGCAACCGAGGTACGCGCCCTTAGCGGGAACCGAACCCGGGTCTCTCAGGACCGCAGGCCGACGCTCTAACCGCTGAGCCAAACCGGCCAGGGCTGCAAATCTTTTTAATGTCTGATTTAATAGAAGACAGCTGGGTTCTTATAGATATTTCTGCATTCACTCTATTGCATATCACAGGTAGGTAGCCTTAGGAAACTCAGGGAGAATGAGAGTAAAAAAATTTAACTAACATCTTATTATTACAAAAACAGACCTGTGGGCCCTTGAAAGTATCGCTGGGACACCCCACCAGGGGGCCCCAGACCTTTTCTGGGATCCGTTTATGCTTTAATTAATGTAGCCTGGGTTCCAGTTAGTTTTCCTAACATTCACAGCATTCTTTTCACTTATCTCAAGCTTGCAGTCAACTAAAATCACCAGCTGTTTCTAGCTATTTCTCAAACAAATTTCTGTCATGTCAAACCTCCCCACTTTCACCTAAATGCAGACCTTATATGTATATATCCTTTTCTTTAATCATCACCCAAGGATATATTTTTTTTCCATTTTACCTTCAGATAGAGTGAGAGAGGGGGAGTGGGGGGAGAAAGAGAGAGAGAATCATGGATGTGAGAAAGACACATCAACTGGTTGCCTCCCACACAAACCCCGACCAGGGCCAAGGACCTAACCGAAACTGAGGTATGTGCCCTTGATCAGAATTGAACCCGTGACTCTTTGGTCCAGGGGGCCAACATTCGAACCACTGAGCCAAACTGGCCATGGCCACATATTTCTTTGTAGATCTAATTTTGGTTTCAGGATACTCTTCAGTAATAAACACCATTGGTTCTGAGGCCAGTCCCCTTAAAGATGGTGTACCTATCCCCATTCAGTTGTGATTGTTGACTGAAAACACATAGCAGCCCCCTTCTCGGAAGAATTTCTCAGTAAAACTGGGACCACTTTACCTGGGAAGCTATGTCCCCCTCCACTTCAGCCAATGGCTGATTGACAAGTCAATGATTATCACAGAGTACAAAAAGCCAACTTCAAGGGCACAAAATGGGACTAATTCAGGGTGTATTTTGTGCTCCAGAGCTTCCCAAGGGATCAGACTGAAGTTGGTCTCTAGCTGAGATCACAGTCCTCCTGAGCTTCTATCCCTTATTTATTGCTTTTGTCACTGCTTTCTCCTAAGAGCACATTCCTAATAAGTCACTTGAACAGAAGTCTCCATCTCAGGCTCAGCCTAAGACATCTTTCTTCCATTAAGACTCTATCATACTGCATATCAACAAACCATCTCAGGGGTGCAGCACCTCCTATATGCTTAAGCATTCTATCATAGAGTCGTGCGGTGGTTCTCAAAACGTGGTCCCTGGACCAGCAGCATCAACATCGCCTGGAAACTTGTTAAAACTGGAAGTTCTCACTCCAGACCTACAGAATGAAGAATTCCATCACAGTGATGTGCTATAATTAACTAACCCATTACTGTTTTATATTTCAGTTGTTTCCATTTTATCCTATTATAAATAACGGTGAAATGAATATACTTGCAGGTAAATTTTTGTGTACATTTCTGAATGTTTTATATTTGCCTACAATTTACTTTGTTGTAAAAGTTTTGCATCAAAAAAAGGTGAACTGGTAGATGAATAGACGGATGGGTATGTGATAGAGCAAGAAGAACAAAATGTTAATGGTAGAGTTTAGGTGATGAGGACATGAATGTTCACTGCAAACTTCTTTCAATTTTCTCGTATGTTTGAAATTTGTTGGGAAGTGTTGAAAATAAAAAATGTTGGAAAAATTTATATTTTATGAAGCTAAATTCCTAGATTTGGAATCGATTGTTCATAGTATGTGCACATCTTTAACTTTGTGAAGTTAAAACATCAACCAGAAAGTGTCAGTTCCCTCACACTGTCAACACCACTTTTTAGTGTTTTTCAAATCTCTGCCAACCTGTTAGGCGAAAGCTAGTAATTCATCTTTTAAATCATCATTTCCATGTGCATTTTTAAAGTTAATATATAATGAGTTGAAAAGCTTTCTAACATGCTTGGCTTCAGATTTGATATCACTTATTCAAACCATGAAGCAGTACTCAAGATTTGAGCAACCACTGCGGGCACTTAATTTATTACCAAGTACAATACCCTCAAGAATAACTTGGAAACCAAATTATATTGGCGAGAGTTACTTCCAAGCCAGCATCATACACAGACAGAGGGGCCTAGTGCCAGATTGCCAAATAGATCTGAGTTCATAGATACTGAGAAAAAAACTCTTCCTTTTACAAAAAAGCCTTCTTACCCATTTTACCAGGATACTCAGAATTCTAAGCATTTCTAAGTGATTTCTTCCTTTGTGTTGAAGCAATTAGAGCCCCAAAATTCTATTTTAGAATTCAAGTATTTTACTTCAGTATAGACTCCACTTAATTATGGTGCATCCATAAGATGGAATGGAATGGAATCACTAAAACAGAACTATGGAATTCTACATTTCCTGGCATGGGAAGATGTCTGTAATACACATGTTCATTGCAAAACACAAGTATGTATGTGTGTAAATGACAGAAACATGTGGAAGTGTATCTATTAAAATATTAATGATGGTTACCTCCAGCTGAAGGATGTATGGAGGGTTTTTTTTTTTTTACCCTTTTTATATATTTCTCGATTGTTTATTTTTACAATAAATATCTTTAAAAATGTATTAATACCAACAAATACAATAAGCTACTTACATGTGGATAAACATTAAATTGAAAATATTCCAGAAAACCACTGAACTCTTATCACCATATGAAAATTTAATTTAGCAAGATTTTCAAGTCAAGGTTAAAGTCACCTCCAGAAGGAGACCCAGATCTGGCATAGTTGAAAGAGCACAGGAGAAAAGACTTAGAAGCAAAGTAGGCAAAGAGGTCTCCAGCCAGGTGTTAAGCAGCAGCGTGAAAAGTCTGTATTATCCTGGGGGGTTTCACTGGAGAAAAATCAATAATAGAAGGAAGGCGTCTGTGGAAACCAAAAGGGTGAAGGCTCACTACAGTCTGCATAGACTCAGAGTGGATTTCAACTTTTCCACAATTCCTGCTTTCAATATTATAGAAGTAAAGAAGGAAATCTTACCCTTTGCAACAGCACGGCTGGACCTACAGAGTATTATTCTAAGTGAAATAAGCCAGTCAAAGAAAGACAAGTACCGACCGATTTCACTGATACATGGAATCAAATGAACAAAACAAACTAACAAAATAGAAACAGACTCATAGATACAGAGAACAAACGGACAGCTGTTAGAAGGGAGGGGGGATAGGGGGCCTGGTGAAAAATGTGAAGAGGTTAAGCAAAAAACAAACAAATAACATTCAATGGGAAAGGGGGAGGGTATGGGAAGAGATTGACCAAATAATGTAGATGCATATATACACAGCCCATTGACATGGACAATAGTGAGGTGAGAACCTGGGATGGGCTAGAAACTGGGTGGAGGGGGGTGATGGGGGAGGAAAGGGGGACATCTATAATACTCTCAACAATAAAGATAAAACAAACAAACCTCATAGACAACAGCATAATTACCAGAAGGAAAGGGAAGTGGAAGGAGGAAGAAAAGGGTAAAGGGGAGATAAACAGTGATGGAAGGAGACTTGACATGGAGTGGTGAACACAATACAATATACAGACGATGTACTATGGAACTGTACGCCTCAAAACCTATATAATTTTATTAACCAATGTCACCTCAATAAATTAAATAAGAAAATAAAACAAAATAAAAATATTATAGAAGAAAATACTTCCCAACAAAGGATGTTCACTTCTCCCCCAAAAGCAGGCCTGGGATCCAACGGCAGTTATTTTTTTAAATATATATGTAACAGATTTAAAATGTTTAGTTTATACTTCACAAAGACTGAAAAGGAGAACGTAACATATTAAAACACTCACCTCCATGGGGAGACACGTCTGTACATGGGCAGATGTCCCTTGATGTGACAGCACTGTCCCATTTTTTATTTGAAAATGTGTTTTGCACATGTATCCATCAGAAGAGTCCTGTGTTCCATTACCAAAAAATACATAAAAAAATGCCAATTATTTTAAGAATTCATCATTCTAAGAACTACAGCTACTCATAAGTCCCAAACCAAGCAATAAAAAACTAAGTATATTACATGAGATGAGATAATATGGATAAATTCATCCAATAAATAGAAGTTTTAATTCCCCACCGTTCTCACTTATTGATACTTCTCCTTCTCTTAGATTAAACCCACCCCCGTTGTTCCCCGAAGCACTCATTAGCACAGAAATCATAGAGCAACTTTTAGGTTGGCAGCTGTTAAAAAACATATAAACTTTTAAAAATATCTTGTCACATGGGTAATATTGATTTTCATGACATATGCAAAAAAAGAAATTTTGGAGAACTTGCAACAGATCTTGATACTGAAGACCTTCCATTTCAATTTCCTGATCAAGGCAAGAGCTCTATGAAAATGTCCCAGGGAGGTCATTACACAGCACCTGCCTGAGCACTTCCAGGAGCCTACTCTTTACTGGGAGTCGAATGACCCTTTCACAGGGGTCGCCTAAGACATAACAGTAGCAAAATTACAGTTATGAAGTAGCAATGAAAATAATTTTATGGTTGGGGGTCACCACAACGTGAGGAACTGTACTGCATTAGGAAGGTTGAGAACCACTTTTTTGCTCCCTCATGCCACCACCACCTCCATTTTGGTACATGCGACGTTGTTCACTGGGAAAGTGTTGTCTTACATTGCATTGAATTGTTTCCCTTGAACTTTAACTCACTAATCTTAGTTCTTCCCTCTAGAACCTACTCTTTTCCACAGAGCCATTCTTCAAAGAGTTGAAGACAATTACCACCACTTTCTAATGTTTCTTGAAAGATATGATATCCAAGCCCTTCACTGTTTGCATTTCTCTCCTGTTTTTATATGTGCCCTTAAATACACTAGTGGATGATGTTCATCTAATTGTTGTACGTTCTCTTTTTTTTAGGCAAAATTTGTCTGAATTAAAGTCATGTGTAAAAATATTATACCTCCTCATGCACAAATGTACTCACATGTCAATAAAAATTATTAATTCTTCACCAAATTGTCACACTAAAATTCACATTTTAACAGATTTAAAATAATTATGATTAAGAAAGATATGGCTACTTAATCTGATGCAGTAAAAAAATATGTAAAATAGCATTTCAACTAAATAATTTGTAATTCACTTAAATACTTTCAATGAGATTCAAAAATCCAGTTTTTAACTATAAAATAAGAAAAGAAAAATTATAGTGTTTGTAAGCAATTTAATATTGAATATTTTTTAAATTTATGTCATGTCAACGATGCAAGAGCATGTGATTTTAGGTAACTGTACTGGGTTGAATAGTGTCCCCCCAAATTCATGTCTCCCCAGAACTTGTAAATGTGACCTCATTTGAAAATAGGGTCTGTGCAGATGTAATCAAGCTAACATAAGGTCATATTGGAATAGGGTAGACTCTAAATCCAATATGACTGGTGTCCTTATAAGAACAGAGAAATGTGGTTGCAGAGACACAGACACATGGGAGAAGGGCACAAGAAGACAGAGGCAGAGATTGGAGCGGTTTCTCTACAAGCTAAAGAATGACGACGATTGTCATCACCAACAGAAGCTGGAAGAGGCAGGAAAGGATCTTCTGTGGAGCCTTTGGAGGGAGCATGGTCCTGCAGATACCTTGATTTCTTGACTTCCAACCTATGAGAAAATAAATGTCTGTGTTTTAAGCCACCCGTTTATGGTCCTTTATTATGGCCATCCTAGGAAACGATATTTTTTGAGAAATATGGCAGGACCTTTACAATGCCTCCCAGTTAGCTAGGCTGACATCGCTTAAGCAAAGGAGCCTTGCTGGTGGACGGTGATCAGCACCAGCTCTGACTGACTGGACCCAACTCCTTCTGACGGGTTGATACCACTGCCACAGGTTCTTAAATACTTTGAATATCCTTCCTGCCTATAAGGTCAGCAATCAGGTATCCAATACTATCATCTTGTATTATTTCATTCAGGTTCTGCATTTTCTAGATGAAATTATTATTTTAAATTCTAGTTCTATATGATCCAAACACAAAGCATATCCCCTAAAAGCCTTCTACCACTGAAATCTTTGTGATTATACAATGTAAATGACTTTGAATAGACTTAAATGGAGAAAGAGATATGTAGTTTCTGTTGTTGTTGCTTTGTACATAAGTAGCCCCTTTCTTTTAGAACAGCAGCCACTTTTTCTCTAAGGAATCATTTCCTTCTCCCCCACCAGTGTGGACATGGCCCCTAGCTCCAGGAATGGTCAGTGGCTGTCAACCAGTTCTGCTGGCCTGAGAGAGTCAGGTGGGCAATGACTCAATCAGAGCCAACGAGATGTGATTCAGGATTGAGTGGCAGGGGAGGAGGACAAGACTATTCTCTTTTCCACTGGATTTAAACCCAAAAAATAAAACCCTGGCAGTGTCGGCAGCCCCCACATAGTCAAATGGAGCCCAAGAATGAAGCCAATACAAAGGGAAGCAAGGGCATGCGATGCAGAGAGACCAGGTCCTGATTACACTATTTAAACCAACCACATCTAAAGCTAGCTCTACCCTCCATTTTTTCAATTACATGGACCCAAACTCCCTTCTTTGCTTCACCCTATTTAGGTTGGGTTTACTGTCACTTGCAACCAAAAAATTCTTTCTATAAAATGACTATATTGTGTTTATTTAGTTAAAAGCTAGAAGATTTGCTACACTATTGCATTATCACTCTTATTATGACAGATAATCAATAGTTGATTATATAAAGATTTACCAATACAATAAAACCATAATGCTATGTGTTTGTGAGGAAAAGTATTGACCATCTTCAATTTAAAAATATTCCAGCAGCCTGGCCAGTGTGGCTTAGTAGATTAAGCTTCACCCCATGGACTAAGAGGTCCTGTTTCGATTCCTGGTCAGGGCACATGCCCAGGTTGTGGGTTCGATCCTCAGTAGGGGGCATGCAGGAGGCAGCCCATCTATGTTTCTCTCTCACATTGATGTTTCTATCTCTTCCTTCCTCTCTCTCTAAAAAAAAAAATCAATAAAAATATATTTTAAGCCCAGCCGGTATGGCTCAGTGGCTGGAGCGTCAACCCATGCACCAAGAGGTCACTGGTTCGATTCCCAGTCAGGGCACATGCCCAGGTTGTGGGTCAAATCCCCAGTAAGGGGCATGCAGGAGATGGCCAATAGATGTTCTCTGTCACTGATGTTTCTCTCCCTCTCTCTCCCCATTCCTCTCTCTCTAAAAATCAATAAAGAAAAAATATATGTATATATTTTTAAAAATAAATAAAAATGTTTGAGCAATACAGAAAAAAATCTCTTCAGATACTAAGAGAAGAGTTAGAGTTAAATTGTGTATACTGAATATAATTAATCAACTGTTTTATTTCATATTTTTCTATACCTGAGCAAAATACACCTCCTTTGACATCAAAAGAGGTGACTCAAAAATTCCTGTGTTCTTATGTTATAAAACCTAAGTAAATTATCTGGTCTCTTTTCCAATGAGTTAAGATAGAGAGATATGTCATTTTTTAATATTACTTATAATTTAAGGAATTTTCATTTCATTTTGGGCAAATTCTGATACTGTTTATTAGTAGCAATTAGGAGGTACAGAAGGGTTTTTGATTCAGTCTATATTTGGTTGTAGTGATTTTTCTTTTTAGTATCAATATCTTTTTTTTTTTTTTTTTTTATATCCTCACCCGAGGATATTTTTCCATTTTTTTGTACAGATAGAGAGGGAGGGAGAGAGAGGAAGGCAGAGAGAGAGAGAAACATCGACGTGAAGGGACACATCGAGTGGCTGCCACCCGCACGACCAACCAGGGCCGGGGACAAACTGCAACCGAGGTACGTGCCCTTAGCGGGAACCGAACCCGACGCTCTAACCGCTGAGCCAAACCGGCCAGGGCTAGTATCAATATCTTAATTGTGCCCTTGACTGGGACTCAAAACTGTGACCCCCTCAGTCCTCTGGCTATGCTCTAACCACTGAGCCAGACCAGCCAGGGCAGAAAGTATGTTTTGTTCCTCATTGTTGAAGAATACCTATTTGTTTATTTATTTATATTTTTATTTATCTTTACTGTTGAAAGTATTACAGATGTCCCTCTTTTTTTTACTCCCACTGACTCCTCCTCCCCACTCCCACCCCCAACCCTGCCTTCACCCCACTATTATCTGTACCCTTTGGTTATGCATATATGTAAATAAGTTATTTGGTTTATCTCTTCCTGCCCTCCCAACCCTGCCCACTTCCCTCTGAGTGGGGAGCAGGCTGACAAGAGAGCTTTGGTAAAGATATCAAAGGTAAAAATGTGAGAACCTCCACCCTGAACCAGCAGCACTACAGTCCAGCGAGGGCAGTGAACAAAGTCGAACTCACATCTCCCCCACTATTCCAGTAAACACTCACTCTTGCTTCCCTGAATTCTTGTTGTACTTACTATAGATTGCACTTTAACATAAAATCTTCTTTAATTTTTAAAAAATTAGTTAGTTTTATTTCCTCCTGTCAATCCTGAATTCAGGGTGTAGGCCCCAGCCCCAGGCAGAAGAAAGACCACCAGGCGAGGCAGGGTCCTTAGTGCAGAGTCCAGACTCATTCCATGTAAAAACCTGCCCCCCCCCCCCCGAAGTCTGAAAACACCCCGTACCTGCATGGGAGGAGGCAGGAACAAAAGGAACATTACAGTGTATCCAGTTCAACCCTCCCGTTTCAGAGATTAGAGGGTGAAGGGCTGAAGCACGTTTAAGAGACTTGTCTTACAGCTAATTTAGGAGCAGAACTGGAAGCGGAAAGCAGGCCTGTTGAGCCCAGTGTTGTTTTGACTATACACTAAGTAAATCCTGCCAGACAGCAGGATAGTGGCAGAATAATGCTTACTGCTGACTCTTGGACTGGTGTAAGCCAGCACTTTCACATTGAGTAACATGCTCAAGCCACTT